TAAAACAAAGACGAAAAAAACACTTAATTTTTGTCATTTCTTCAATCATTACTTTACTTTCATTGTTGTTGGCTGAACTACGTAGCAATCAACCAAAACCCAATTCACAAGGCCATGCTCAGCTGTATGAGGAAACAAACAAGATGTAACCTATAAGTGGAATTCTCTATTAATAACTACCAAAGCTAGAAAGGTCTAATGTAGAAGCTCCTAGGCCCAAAGTAATTCCATTATAGTCCCTAAAGAAATACATATGGTTTATCAAAATCAATAAAGCAGAATGGAATGAAGAAGAAGTACAAATAAGTTAGGTGTAAATGGCAAAAAATAACTATGAAACTTAACTACATTACTATGAATATTTTTCAATTTTACCAAGAGAAGTCTGAAATTAGTCAATACATTATAGTGTAAAGTGAAACATTAAGCACAATTTATACATGAAATTTATGTTCCTCATATAAATCAATATACGTTATTACAAACGTCAACGTGACTTAACACTCCTCCCAAGAAATAGTTATCAGCCCAACTGCAGTTGTGATCATTGGTGTTATATATATGTCCTACCCTACAATATTATCCAGACTAAAATCCTATCCAAGATCATAGAAAACATAAAAAAATACTTAAACTCAAATCAAGAATTTACAAACTTATAATGATATTGTGTGTAAAAGTTAATTTTAACAAAGAAGTTGAAAAATTCTTTTTGAAAGCAATCTTTGAATTCAGCATTTAGAAGATGTCGAAAGATTACTTCTGAGCATTTTTCAACTCTGTGCATCAATACAACATCTTGCGTTTATTTCATGTAAAAAAGTTATATTAACGATTAAAACCACATACTTTGTCCTAAGACAAAATATACTAAAACATTTTGTTATTGTGACCTCATTTATTTACATTAACACGTGGATTTAAATTTGATGTTAACTGTATTGGAATTACGTTAAAATGGTTGCTAATACTGGAATTAAGTTAACCTAATTATTAACCGAGAAGTTAATCTTTAATACGATCGCTAACTCTAGAAATAACTCTGTCTGATCTTGAACTATAGAATTTATCCAGTTTGATCGTTAATTATAGAATTCATCCAGTCAGATTGTTAAAACTAAAATTATTTCGATCTCATAAGTTATTCTAATATTCATGTTATTCATGTTTTTCGTGTTGTGTAGTTTTTTTTTTCAATTCAACACATTTGTGATATAAAAACAACATAAATATATGAAATTACATTGAATTACAAGAATGAAGTAGGACAGTTAATTCGTCGTTTCATTGATTAATTATTAATTCGTCTCTAGTACCAGATAAACATGTATGTAGTATTTTAACGTCATTTTTGTAATATAAAAATTCACACACACACACACATATATATATTAAATTTTGATTTTGTTTTTGGAATTGAATCTACATTAGATAGAATTCTGTACGTTATGACGATGTACGTTAATATCAGTTGTAAAATTAAGCCCACGGAGAGAAATGAATTTTAATCAATTACCTTAAAAAATATAAAGAAGATATTTAAGTATTTTCCATGGATTTTAGTGTATATTTAAATTTACGAATTTCAATAATTTTTATTTTCTGAAATTGCTTTCTAAGTAGTAGTGAACTTTAAAAGGATACTAAAATTAAAAAAGCATCATTCAGTAAAGTGTAAACCCCAACTTATTTTGCAGAAAATAAAGCCTATTCTAACTAAGTTATTAATGGTAATCACTTCCAATTTGATAACATGTTTCTGAAACAAAACATGCGAGAATCAGAGACGTAAGTTATTGAACTTTGAGTAAAACCAGATTTCTCTTCGGTTAATGGGTTACTTTATTGTTTCTCAGCACTGACTGGATGAGCTTAATGTTTTTCACAGATACATGAATAAACAAAATACTACTTAAATGTTTGGATATGATGTCATACACACAAGTCAACGTTAGCGTTTAGAGACGTTATAATTCATGTACAATCAGATGAGTGTTTCACGCTTGAGCCATGTCACCCTCCTCGGAAAGATGCGAGATGGAATTACCGACGCTATTGTTTTGCTTATTTCTGCATTAATATGTCCATTTCGTCATTCCATATGCCAGTTAAAAAGTTCACGAAGCACCGGTAGAATAAATACCTCATATATCAACATTCCGAAAATATAAAAAGTTAGATCCAAATTAAGTTTTGAGTAAGCTCAGAAAAGCAGACCAGACCATAAAGTCCTGAGAAGAATGTTTTACGTTAGAGAGATATATACCGAGTTGTGCGTGAAAGACTGATAGACATTTAATAAACTACTCAAATTATATTTATATTAATGTTTTTTTTCTGTAGTTTTACACCATAACAATTAATCTGTCCTTGAATGACCTTTAGGACCAAATATTATTTACGGAACCATTATACAATGTACAAAAAATCTCAGGAATTCATAAGGTGATATAAAATTTTACCAACTATTTACATAATAGGTGATGCCTACATTTGAACCATGTTAATATACTTATAAGTACTTGTACAGTGAATGTTTATGTAGATACGGGTCAAAGTGGAATCTCATTCCAATATGCCCATAAAAAATATTTTGAGCTTTACAGGGTGACCAACGTAACTCAGTTTCTGTCCTTACAAATTAATGAAATGAAAACTCAACGCATTATAGCATCTGGTTGGTAAGATTGTTCAGTTTATCAGAGTAATTACTACATACAAAAGTCATGTCAGTTAGCTACTTCATCTGTGATATGTTAACTATTTTTATGGAGAAACTTGAAGATATTTCAATGTGGTAATTTAATGTGGATGAGGTTTCTATGAGATCTTCAACATTGTTATGAGAATACGATACTCTGGAAAACTAATGGTAAAGAGACCGGCTTTCAGTATCTTGATCAACTCCCATACTCACAAGAAAATGGGCTCTATTTAAAAGTCCACATACTTTGTATAATAATAATGATATCAAGTTATAAACAGGTGAAACTGCAGTACAACAAGAACACTAGTCACACATTAAGATGTATAAGTGCATTTTGATGTACAAAAATGGATGATGGAGAGTAACTACAGCGTATTGAATCTGTGAAGGCTGGAGAAGTGTGAAAAATTGACCTATCAATTTTCAAACACAATGAAAAGTAACTTTTCTTCCCGGAATCATAACAAATTAAGAATATTTAAACACATAAATATTTATTTTAAATGTTGTAAGGTCCATTATGACAGCCTAACTTCACTCCTAAAAAGTTGTTCTTAATACGATAAGTATTACGTAACAAAACAAGGCTATCCTAAAGATTTTCTTAAGCAAAACTATTTTTCACGTAATTTACAAAGAGCTTTTTAACTAGACATTTGCATAACACATTTAAGCAAGGCATAATCTTATATAAAAAAATGATAAAACATTCAAGCCAATAAATGTTAATAATCTTCAGACTGTTACAGAAGCTGGTGCAATATTTACACCAACATTATGGTCAAAGTATTACATAAAATTCAGACAAATATTTCTACGATGTCCTATCTTTCATAATTATTTATTATTTTAACCAATAAGGGTGTATCACATGAGTTAAATAACATCGGTCTGCGAACAGCACATAAAGTTATTTTAAAAGTGTCAGAGAATCAGAGGGCCGACTTAAAATTAGTTTGATAAAAGTGAATATGGAAGAATGCAGTTAGTTGAAAAATTGATCTCCTTCTTAAGCGCTTTGGTAAATAATTGATACATGAGACGTTTTACTTCGCAAATTAGAGAGTCACTTTTCTTGATAACAGTTTGATAAAAAGGTAAATCACCATGGATGGCCAGGTGGATCTTCTAGAATTTATCTGTGTAATTAAGACGGAGTGTTTTGAAGAGGTAACTGCGGTTCTTCACTTCATTAACTGTATTAGATTTATCATGTCTATGAACATTGGAAGTATTCTGTCTTCAGTAATTACAGTGCTTAATAACTTATGTGAAAGGCTTGCTTAAACCTGGCTTGTACTCATTTTTCACTGTAGCTCCATACCTGTATACATTCTATCACTAAATATATAACCATGTACATCTCATTACGTATTAATATCAATATCATTCGAGAGTGCTTACTTAACTGTAACATGTCAAGATCCTTATTAGAATATGAATGAATAGAAATACGGTTCGTGAACTCGACCAGTACTTCGAGGTTATGCCGTACAGACAAAGACTAATGTCTTCATTAGATGATTCTTTTGGTCTTACATTACATGAATAATTATGTTCAAATAAAAAGCACCTCATTTCACGGCGCTATTATGATAATCTTTAAGTTCATTAAGGATACGAGACGGCGTTGAGAGAATGGTGATATATGGGTGTCAGAGTTTATTAATAAAACAACTAAAGGAAGATTTCTTCTCAGACTGCAGTCTAAAACTTTACATAAAACCAATAAATTAATCGCTGAAAACTGTAGCACATAAGAAGAAAAATGCATTTAATGTAAATTTTAGATGACACCTGTCTCGATTAAAATAATTAGACGAACAAACAGCCGGAGTCTGAACAACATGAAAACATTCGAATAATCTGTTACAAAGAAAAAAAAACCAGATGATAAAACAGCAGAATATCATAGGATTCGATTTTGTATTTATCATATATGAATATTTACATGCTTTTAATGGGGAACGTTCTTTCTTGTTACCTACTCTTATTTTCATATTTCGATTTTTTGTACACAATTTTCTTGCTAATTGTTTGAGTATAGACTACATTAAATCAATTTATTCTCTTTTAGAGTTATTTCTTCATACCCTCGGGAATAATGGTGCCGACTAGTAAAAATATCGAAATCTACGCACCAACTTTATTGGTCTTGATATTAGATTCGTCTCATAAATCCATCCATGTATTGATGAAAATCTTAAGAACCGACATATAATGCTACCAAAGAGTTTAAAATATAATTTTTCACATTACTGTTTGTGAATATTTATTAGGAAAAGTAAACTACCTTGAAAGATTTGACACTGGTGACGTTTCGAACTATATAATGATGGATTTCTTCATCCGGACACCAAGCCTGAAGTATTCTTCAACATGGAGCCCGAAACGTCGTCACTATGGAAAATCTCCACGCAGTTGTTCTTCGTAAACTGCATCCTCTATGTAATCAAAAGTAAAATAATACAGTAAAGAAAGTTCATATCGTAGTAATTTTATAAAAACTCCTTGAAATAATTGTCTCCATACAACATGATATTAGTTGTTGTTTTTTTACAGTTCGAGATTTATTGAATTACACATACATCTTCGCCTTCATGCGAACTTCTAAATATCAAGACAAAAGCATTATTCCACGAATTAGTGAATCTCCTATTAAATAATATATATGTTACGTTGCCATCAATATAAAGAATACAAGTGAAAAACATTTTTTAACAACAAAAACTGAAATTCCCTTTTCGTACATACATTCACACAACATTTTCGGACGAGAATACTAATTATGATAAAAGTCTACAAGAATAGAACGTCAATGTTACAAAACACAAGTAAAAGATGGAGCTCAATGATTATTAACCCGACGCACAACACTGATTTACTCATACGACAATATATAAGTTTACAGTTAGAAATAATTCAATATTATATACTATTGAATTTTAATTCTAGACACAAGAACCTGACTTTTGATAGAAGCTTTCTATTAAGTTTCGAATTCCCAGTCTCCGTTTCCATCTGTTCATGGCAAAGACTGAGTTCTTTTTGAGACTTGTTTGTTTGTTTGATGTTAAGCACAAAGCCACACTATGGGCTATTTGTGCCATGCCCCCACGGGTATCGAAACCCGGTTTCTAGCGTTGTACGTCCGCAGACATACCGCTGTGCCACTGGGGGGGGGGTCTTTTTTGATGCAGCTGCCAACATGCTTGTAATAAATACACGGTGTAGGTTACTGAAGCTTCAGAAAATTTCTTTATCTGCCTTGAAAACATTAGTTGCATTACATCATTCGTATGTGAAAAAAACGAGAGTAATCGCTCTCAGGTTAACGTTTAAGATACTTATAAGCATGGATAAACAAAACGATTTAAAATACTTATAATCATGGTTAAACAAAACAATTTAAACAAATATACATACCGATATTATACTTCGAACTTCTATATAGAAAAATATGAAATAAAATAAACAAATACTATTTCTGCAACTGTATCTGTGTATTCACTAAAAGTTTTATCCATGTATAAAACGCGCGAAACAATTAAATCGTTAATATTTCCTCTTTAAAATATATTTAACGTTTTGATAAATATATTCCAAACTCAAACTTCTAATTCTTTAACCAGGACTTTGTAATAAAGTATGGGTTCTAAAAATATTTGTCATCTACTGTTGTCGACATATAAGCTTAAAATACCAAAAAAGCCTGAAGAAAAGAAAAGCGATAATAGATTCCATAAAATCTATAGATGATAGATATAGTCTACCCAGTGCCAAAATGAAGAAAACATTTTTTACAAAAAGCTTTCATTTTTCGTATAATAGTAAAGTTTTATCTATAGAAATAAATACTTGAGCAATATAACTTGGTGTTCAAAATTATTTATAACGTTCCTTGTTGATGTAGTATAAATTAATAATAATTAAATTATATTCAAAGATAATACAAATATTAAAGTTACTATCATTTTGCTATATATAAACAGATTGGTAGCTAGACCAAACTACATTGTTATATATATATTAATTGTTATTATAACACTGCAGAATCTTAACATGATCACCATTGGTGGTATTAATCTCACAGTGCCTCGTTTCACATGATAATATGAAATATCCACCTTCTAGTTACAAAGCCGGACTTACATTATAATTTTTTTTCTAGCTCGTATAGTTCTTTAACAGACATAAAAGCGCTATTCAAATCCAGTGAATATGACATTTATCAAAGTGTGTGAAAGGGATTGGTCCTTTCGCTTCCAGGACGGTTTACATTGTCAATGTTTCTATAGAGGACCGACCAGTCCTAGTTCTTGGTATTGTTGGCTTATAACACCTTGGACTTAGATTGAATCTTTTGAGTTACAAAAAACTTCATTCAAATATATTCAATGAAGGCTGAACTGAAAACCCTGCTGGTTAAATTCGATACCCATCATCAAGTTTCAAAGTCTGTCAGATAAGAGGCTTAGTTAGGTTCAAGAGTATATATTGGGAACCTGCTTATACTCAGGATTACGCGTATAAGGCATGATGTTCTCGAAGTTTGGTCACGTGAGACAGAAAGAAAAGAGATTTTTTTTAAACACTTTATCGCATCTGCAATCGTTTTCTCCATGACTCAGTGATAACAACCACATTTAGAACATTTCTTACCTCTGTGTATAGTGTCAATAACAGATGTTTCCCAATTGATGTTTTTACGTAGTATGTCTTCAGTACGGTACAGTATACCAATAATCCAAGTTGTTCAACGGTAAAGCTACAAAATAACTTCAAAATCTTTGAGGAAGATTTACCTTTCCAAGACCAGTTAATCTTTATCAACTAATTGTATAAGTTGTAGGTTTTTTTATGTAAAAAACTTTCAATAAAGAATTATCAAGCCATTTCCAAGATTTGTTTGAAAACATATATTATTTACTGCAATATAACAAATATGAATTATTACCGTAACAACTTCAAATAGCATAATTTATGTAAGGTATTTTAGACATTTAATTAACACATGTGAAATAACTGTCCTATTTAATAACTCGTTACTGCATTTACTCAGCAAGTGAAGCTTTCCCAGCTCCACTATAAAGCAATATATTTACTCTATAATAGAGAATTAAGATGAAAATAATGTTTGATTTAGCCAAGAATAGTTTTGATTCGTAAATTGGTAAAGTCAGGGAAAAAGTTTAATTCTATTTGTCTTCTTTATTTTCTTTTGATAATTTTATCTTTGATCAAACTTTTTATATATTCAAAATCGGTTATTTTCTATTACGCATAAAATGTATAGGTTGATTACTTTATTCTAATACGTACAGTCAATAATAATAATGTACTTACAACCTTTTCGTCATTCACATATACGGCAACAAAATCAAAAATGTATTGGTGACGAAATCTGAAACCACCGGATCGAAAACACCTGGACTCTTTCGAAAGATATATTGTGTTCTCTGATCGATTACTAGGCGTGAGAAAAACTTATGAAACAAAGTAAAGAAATCAAAGCATGAAAGCCAATCATATATATTACGGTTGCTCAGAACAACATAAAAAAATCACTATTAATCTCATAACTTAAAACAAAATTAAAATCAAAATACTTTCAACGTAACTTTAAAAAATACAGATATGAAACGAGTTAGCTATAATATTTTAGTATAGTTGTTGGTTTTTTAGCTCGAAGCTACTCAATGGGTTATCTGTGCTCTCTCTACCGCGGGAAATCAAAATCAGAATTTTAGAGTTCTAAATTGGGAGACGTACCGCTAGGGGACTTTAGTACAGCTAACTCGAACAAGAGGGAAACCTCAATAGCCGCGACACTTGAAATTCGTTTAGATAGAATTAGAGTAAATTAATGTATGATACTTTTTTTTGTCCCCCTTTTTATTAACAATATTTTTGTGCGCCAGCAACACCAAGCGTGGGGCGCGCGAATATCCTATTTTATTTTATTACTCATCAGGATCTCTACCAGTCTACCCTCAAAGTGAAATTCTTTAGGCAGGATTAGAGTAAATTAATCTATGAGACCTTGAACGTGATACATATATCAATCAAAAGGGTTTGACCTCTTGAGTCCAAAACTGTAATTAGATCTCAAATCGGTCAGGAGATGGCGGAGCTATAAGCTAAAAGTTTGTACTTGAAAAAAACAAAAACAAACAAACTCAAAGTCATTCTATGAGCCGTTATGCCGCGGCTAAAAATTGGAGATTTATAAAACACTTGCTTCCTAGCGATATACTTTTGATCCAACATACAACAGTTAGGATTTTTGTTGTTGTTGTTAAGCGCAAAGTTATCAATATTGGTTATCTGTGCTGCGCCCACGAAACCATGTTTTTAGCATTATAAGTCTGCAGACTTATTGCTGAGTCACTGGGGCATTTAGAATACAAGAAATTCGCAAAATCATCTGTCAAAAAATAAAAATGCACTTATTATATAACCACCATATAAAAATCGACAAACCTTAGGACACCCTAATCACTCTTGTTATGTGTAACATAACATAACGATACTGTAGCAAAAAATCAATATTATCTCTTTTATCGAAGGTTTATTTTCTTTAGCGTAAAAAAATGAAACATAAAACTATTCTTGGAATGTTTTTACTACGTAGTAAAATAATTGCCCTATTTTGTGTGTTTGTTTAAGTGATATTTACCGAAAACTAAAAAACAAATCTGAGAAATATCATTTGGTTATCTGTATGTGATGGTGTTGGATTTCGATCATCATGGCTTCTTGGTTAAAATGTTTAGATGATTGTCTTTTGAATGCTTTTGTTTATCAATTATTACATAATGTACAAGTTTTCATGACTTACATCAACCTTAGAATAAGTTGAAAACAAGAAGTTAACGCAGGTTTGTTTTATGATATCTGTTGTATTGAATGTTCTGTTAGCCACTTGATACTTTTGGCAGTAAATGTTATACGGACGTGAAAACTGATTCCTTAATAATTACTTCTTTTCAAAACGCATATCACATTCGTTTCTTGTTATTATCTCTTCGTGTTATCTTTCAAGCACTAAACGCATGACACAGTGACTCGTCACAGACTAAATACGGTTGATATCACTTTTCGTCAAACATGACTGTGTCATAGTTCATAGCATAAATAGATTTTATTCAAGATAAAATCAGTTTAAAAAGGTCAGTAGCATATAAAAACAGGGGGATATAAACTAGAGCTTCTATCCAAATGGTGTAAACATTCTTAGTGTGAATTCTATCAAACTTCTCTACAGGGACACGCAGGTAAAGTAATTTTGTGATATTACGTACAGCTAGCAGTATTAGCACTAGCATGAAAATCAGAACGATGTCATCGAACTGTAATTTGGAGACAGAAATACGAGGCCTGCTATTTTCCAAGACCGCTAATTAGAATTTATTGATAACGATCTTTTAAGAGCAAAGAAAAA